ACAGTGCAAATCAACAATTGTGCTTGAACTCGTGTTATCTGGGCGACTTCATTGTGGAAAAGGGTACGCACGTTGTCGTAGATGTTTTTTCAATTCACTACGATCCAACAATATAGGGCAAAGATCCAGATAAATTTATTTCTGAAAGGTGAAATTAGAACCGTATCGACTACTTACTGTTTAGCTTCGAAGCACTGAAAAAAAAAATTAACTTGAGAAATTGCGTAACATGGCAGGTTTGACCAAAAATTGTTATAACTAAAGTAGTTTTGGTTTTCCAGATGGAGTAGTTTAACGAATATTCTGCAGGTTGCATATCTACCTTTTGGCCTAGGACCTCGTCAGTACATCGGGATGAGCTTTGCACTGATGGAAGAAAAACTGGCGATCTGTCACTTAGTACGTCGTTTTAACTTATTTACAGGTCCAGATTCGGAGGTAAAACGGAAAGCTAGATTTATTTTTATTATAAGTGCTGATTCGTCTATGAAACTATGTGGAAAAGAAGCCTGTTTTGAAAGAAAAATTGTCAAGTATCTGTTTTTGCTTCAAAATTTTTTAGCAAACTATTCTGAACACTTAAACATCTTTTTGAGTTTTTTTAACGTTATTTGACATGTATATCCAAAAAGGTTTCACTGGTTTTTCAGGATTCATTGGGAGTTCAAGGATTTTTCATTATTAATCTAATATCTGTTCATGTTTACTTGAAGCGAAGAAAAATTGGCATAAATAATGCTGTAAGCTAAACTTGGATCTGATAAAGTCTTTGTGTGCTCATTAGAAGAAACACTGCTGAATTAATTCTGATATCAAATAAAGATTGTTCACATGTCTTTGTCGTGAATTTTGTTTTATTTAGGCACAGGGTAGTACTTTAAGGCAAATACTATCTCAATAAGGGCAAATAAGACTACACCGAAGCCAAGGCTGGACTACAGTTCAACCGATGATAACTTTTAGGCAGAATTAATTTGGAGCTCATTATTGATCTTCAAAACTGAATTTAAATTATAAATAATACGATTTTTGGGAAAAACTATGAATAAGAGTTGTGCTTATGGCATTGTAGCTGATGATTAAAGTTCAATACGTACGATTATCTCCCCCATCTATCTCGAAGTATTATCTGGCAAACCCAAGTTTTTAATTTTGAAACAACTTGAACTAGTTGTGTGCAGTGATGAATTTGCTGATTCTGCGTCTGTTTTTCATATTCGTATTGAACCACAAAATCTTAGCCAATGTTAGTTTACCGAGCGATAACGAAACTTTACCAGAATTCTGTAAGTTGCGTGCTTTATATTAAAATTGTTTACATTGTCTATTTCAATGATGTTTTGCTGACATCTTTTACTAGTGGTTTGAATTTCTTTCTGCTTTATATTTAGTTTATTGTACCAATATACATTTTCAAAAGCTTGAATTACCGGTTACACAGTCACCGCCTGATGTAATCAAAATACAAAGCTTGATGTACATCATTAATTTTATTTAAGCTTTATCAATTTCCATTGTCTGGATAAGGTGAGAAGAGTTGGAATTAAAATTCTGTAACCGGTAATATGGCAAAGATAAAACTACATTTTATACCACATCATTATAGCGGAACCATTAAATTTCACAACGCCAAAATCTGCAGTTTGCGAATCAGCGATGCCATGCTTGGATGATAATGACTGTTATGGTGGTATGAGGTTTTTATCATTGAATTCTTTCAGGAATGAGATCAGCTGGAGTTTTTTGAGCTAATAAAACCATATTTTTCAATTCTGTTCACACTCTAATTTTTTAGTGACATTTATGTGTACTCTTGCAATTGTTGCAATATCCCTGCACAATTCTTTTGCAAAATTTTTCATATTTAAGTTTCAAGAAAGTGGGTAATATGTTTTTAGGAATGTGCATTGGATGGGCTGTTCGAAAATGCAATTGTGCTGCGTGTGTGTCGTTTGTACGTTGTAATGACGATGAAGCTTGCGGAGGCCTAAAAGATGCTTGTCAAGACGGTTACTGTGACTGCGATATAGGTTTGGATTTTCAGTATTAGTATTATTTTTATATATTTATATACAGGATTGTATTTTTAGTACTAATGTGTCTTTTTTTTTTTGTAATACTTAAGCCACATGGTAAACAAGTAAGTTAAAAAATCAATTTATTTGACGTTCTTATTGTCTGGTCAAGAAATCATGTTTTGACACCACGGGCTGACAATCTTTTTAGGCTTTCGCAGCAATGGACTTCGATCGAGAAGACATGCACTTAAAGTGTTTTGCAATATTGAAGACTGTGATCCTAGAAGTGATCTTGGAAGCTGTTATGGCCTACCGTGTAATCCAGGCATTTGCATTTGTCCGCCAGAGAAGTAAAAGAAAAAAAAAACTTTTTTTTTACTCTGTAAAATCACTGGCGATCATCTTAAACTTTGTTCTCTTGATCGATTTACTCTCTTCCTCTTGATGTCGAAAAGAATCTTGTAAAAGAATGCTTTGTATTTTACTAAGATTGAGCTGCAGATAATTTTTTTAGGTTTTCTGAAAGGTAGTTGAAGAAGAATGACATAAATGTTTGCGGTATTTTGTTGATTACTTGCAATAAAGTTGGGGGAAACAAAAAAAAGGACGATTGTAGCAGTCATTTAAAAAGAGTATTCACATGCTCTCATGTTTTATGCTTGCCGATATTTGAAATTTTTATTGAATCTGTAATGAATACAGATTTTAGTTTTTTTTTTTTACTATCTGTTTGCGTTTTCACATAAACAGACTCTCAGAAAACAAAGTCGATACGGTTCCATATGTTGTTTTCAAGAATGATCTACTGAGTTCGTATCAGAATGAAAAAAAGAGTGACTTTTAGAACTTCCAGATGGTTTTAAAAGTCGCATAATAATGCATACTTTTTCGTATTTTATTCTACTTTTATTGCCCATTAAAAGTTTGTTTTGAAAATGTGATTGCGCAGACAAATTTCTCATAATGCCTTTTGGTTTTATTCATTCTGAATACTACTGTCTTGTTCTATGCATATTTGTATTTCGCTTGTCAGGTATGTGGTAGTGTATATTTCTCAAGGTTTTTTTTTTTGATTCAAAGGTTGATTTGAAAACTTTTCATTTATCATTATTAGAATATACAGATTTTGGAAATAAAACACACATTTATTTGCTTTTTTTCTGCATTTATTTTTGTAGATTGTAGTTCCATTTACACAGTTTTATTCTGCTTATTTGCCTTTCTTTTTATTCACTGTTATGATGGATATTAATCGAATGTAAAAAGGATGTTTAACAAAGTCCTTAATATTGTTTTGCTCTGAAACATGAAACTTACTAAGTCTGGAGAAACCCTGTAAAACTACTTGGAAAAATTTAAGAAATGTTGATTTAGAAGCGTCATACATGCAAATTTGTATGCAGTGAAGCAAAAATGAACTAAAAAGTTGTTGAATGCAAAGAGTTGCTTGAACTGTTTAAGTAGCTCTAAAGTGGCTAATTTGGATGTGGGAAATACATTGTTTAACCATAATTTATGGTAGTTTTGTTTGACAAAATTTCTTTTTTTTTGTCAGCTTTTTTCTGGTAGACAGTTTAGCAGGCCTTAAAAAAAAAAGACTTAGGCTGGTTGCAATTGCAATTTAAGGGCGGCAGTGGTGATGGTGACGATGACAGTGATAATTATGACGATGACGATGGTGAAAACTAAAGCATTAAGAGATGTTATATCAGATTAGATTTTAGATTAAAAAAAATTGATCTCAAAGTGTATAGTTTCATAAGCTTCTAGACTTGTTCAAAATTTAACTATGTTGTAATTTATGCTGCAGCATTTCAGTTCGTTCTTCCTACTCATCTTGTTACATCTCTTCTTTGTGGTACATTAAATTTCTAAAAAAAAAAAAATGAAAAATAAAAAAATTGAAAAAGATGGAAGCAAGTCTGAAAGGCGGGTAAAAAAAAACTTGTTTTTGATGATTGAATACTATAGCCGTTTTTCAAACTTAGTAATTCACAAAATGAATATCTGCAAGTAAACAGGCCTTTTTTTTTTTTTTTTTTTTTGGCTACTAAATATCAATTTTAACAGTTTATCTGACTGTATGTATAATTCAGTAAACATTTATAAACGCGTATTGCTTTTTCTTTTTTTTTTTCTCACATATAACCAATAATCAAAGAAATACATTATGCTAATATACAATTATCACATAATATTATCCAAGAATAATGCTGATACATATGTTTTGCAATATATTTGTTTATGGTTAATCAAAATACTGTTTTTGTTCTTTTAACAATTTTTCTTTTTTTTCTGTTTATGCATAAGAATTATGATGATTTTTATTCAGTAAATAAAAGCATAAAATTTTGACTAACATCATTATAACTATTTTTACAGCAGTTATCAATGTTGCCAATAGTTTTTATTGCTATTATTTAATAATAATTGCTGTATTTGAATTGATGAGTATCGCTAATGTTATATACGTTTATGCCAATTATATCGGCCATAAGGCTTCCAACAAATGTGATCAAACTATATGTTTTTGACCTTATAAGGCGCTAAGCAAATTAAATGCTATTAATTGATAACAGAAACAACTAACAATCACTGAAAAGGAAAAAAATATGTATATATATATATATATATATATATATATA